GGGGACAACACTTGTGAAAGGTGGGGAGGATCTCAACGTTTAATGGGGAGGGAGAAACCGTAGAAGTACGTGAGTTACTGTGGGAGGAGGGGTGGTATCATCAACAGTCACAGCTACTCTAGCTGGATGGGAGGACAGTGTAGCATGATGGTTGGCATGACTAAGCTGGCTAGGGCTCAGTTAGTAATGTTGGGGGATGAAGTCGTAGTTCATTGAGGTGTGTGGGACTGTTTGGAAGCTCAGAACTGATGGACTTGAGACAATGCAGAAAGAAAGGAACATGGAGCTTCGGACGGGATGGGGGGCTGATATCCAGGCTGAGCCAGCAAGTCCTCATTGCCTTAGACATTCATGCAACTCGTAAACACTCACTGGAAATGGCCATGACAACACTTAGAATGGGCACAATAAGTTTTTTTTTCTATCTTAGCAATTGGGCTCTACTTGTAAGTGATGTGAGGCTGGTCAAGGCACAATTGCATTAATCAGGCACTTTCACAGTACAAGTTAAAGTTATCTGTAATTATAGCACTCTGCATGTGAAATGTATGCTGTGACCAACCATGTGGAATACAAATCGTGGTCACAAGCAAACTTGACCATACCGTTGCTTATTACAGTTTGAAGATATTTATTTCAGGACACTGTCACAGATCTAAGCCCAAAAGCTGGAGCAGGACCTATAACATTAAGGATTGAGTGGCCATCCTATCCTGGTGGCTGTGAAAGGGTGACAGCTGCACTAAACTTTTATGTGACTAGCTGCCTCTGAGGAGCCACTGGGAACCTGTGTGGGATCTCTCAATCCTCGATTCACAAATGTATCAAGGCTGTTACCAATATATTTTGTGACAGATTACAATTTCATCCTGTTTCCCTCTGAGGAGGTCAGCGCTACAGCCTAGACTTTGCCAAGAGAGCTGGCTTCCCCTAGGGGCACAGTGCTACAGACATTGGATTGTGAGCACCAAATCATAACACGACTGACTTCATCAAGTCATCTGTGATCATTGATACTATATCTTAGAAATCTGCACCAACTACCCTGGGAGCAACCATGATGCCTTTATTTTTGAGAACTCCCGTGTTCGTGCTTTGTCTCATGGCCTGGATGCTTTACAAGGATGGCTGCTGGGAGACGAGGGCCATCCTCCATGATCATGGCTGGTAACTCCATTCACAACTCCCTGACTAAGGCTGAGTGTAGCTGCACTGCTGCCTTCTCTTCAACCAGTGCCATCACAGAACACAATACTTGATCGTTTGTGTTAGGATCAGTTGGAGGGAGAGGAGGCCTGGCAATGCACTCCAGGCAAAGTATGTCAATAATCCTAGTATTGTGTGTTCTGCCCACCTGAAGCAGGCATAGAGGGGATGTGATAGACTCCGAAGAGTTGGAAGAGCAGCAGCAGCCCTTCTGAGGAGGAAAATGAGGACAACGAACAGGAAGAACATCATCTTCTGCAAGATAGAATTCTGAGCATCAGGCATAACGAGCCAGACAGGACTTACTAGAATGCCTACAGCGTGGAAGCAGGCCTTCAGCTCATCGAGTCCACACCAACCCTCTGAAGGGCATCCCAGCCAGACCCTCCCCCACCCCCAGCCTGTAAACCTGCATTTCCCATGGCCAATCCACCTAACCTGCATATTTTTGGACTGTTTGATTCTAGTTAATGAGAGCAGGGTGCAGTTATCATTTCATTGTCTGTAAATTTGTTACTACTTGAAAGACAAGCAGTCTCTGTGTGTCCACCAGGCAAATGCTGAATGAAAGTGAATGTTTTCAACCCTTTGAAGACTTTCCAGTGTGTGATAGTCCCACACTGAACAATATGAAGATGTTAGGCTACACTGGCATTGAGGAGAAAGTAGGACTGCATTAGACAGGGTTCTGGGATGGATTGAGGCTAAATACGGTAAAGCTGCAAAGTTTTTTCTTTCCGAAATAGCAATACATTTATGAATATGCAGTTGTATTACCAATGAAGTGTCAGCCAATACACTAAATGTCCTGAGCAGCATTTGTTCTTGGTTCCACACTTGTTATTTGTACAGTGAAGGGCAATTCCTGGCTAACAGTGCTTGTCCTGATACATGCCTGAGCTTTAAAACTGGTGCTGGTACTAGGAATCATGGGAAGTTGTGGTAGTGGCAAGTGCTTCTGTCTCTGACAGAAGAATTAAGATAGGATGAGGGGAATGTCACATGTGTACTGCATAGCCAATGAAGTGAGTTTCCAAATGTGAAAAATCTCACTAGGTCACACAGAAAAATCTTCCATGAAACTCACCAAAATTGACACATAGCTGAGTTCTATTAACTCAACAGAAAATTCTCCAGCATCTGCAGTTCCTACTATAACAGAAAAAAGGCACAACTTCATGGTTAAGTGATAAGTGTGTGTTTCAAAAAAAGTGTTAATGTTACACTAAATAAGTACCAATTCATTCCAGTCATGCTGTCATGAAATAATATATGCATGCAGCTAAATAATAAGCTGAAGCCTAAATCTACATCAATGTTTATTTTCTTAGTTCAGCAGTCTCTTGTGAGAAATACAGTCTGAATGAACAGATGTGTGTGCAGCAGTGTTCTGTGTCCAAAGTGATAACACTTAACAAAAGTAGTTTCAATCAGTTATTTACATTCATGTGCATTTCAATCCTACACGCTGATATTACTTCATAAAACGCAATTTGACATTCAGTGAAACTAAGTTGCTTACTTATTTGTTAATGTTAGACCATTTTATAATCTGGTTATTCTCAGATACGGCTTATTTCTTTGTTATGTTGCGTACCTCATTAATGATTACATTTTTGTTATCAGGATGCATCACTTCTTCTTTGCATTCGGGTTTGTTGTACAACACTGTCCTGTTTTTCTCAGGTGACATTTGCACAGGACAAGACACATGCCTGTGTTTTTTCATGTTCTCTCACAATTATAATCTATACTCGTAATGATAACACAGCCTGCAAACCATTGGAGGTCATTTATTTTGATGATTATAGGGGCCTTGTGTGAAAATGGACTAGTCTATCTCCTGACAATAGAGAAATAATTAACTGATCATGGAGCACATGGAAATATCAAAAAGATGTGCAAGATGCAATACAAAATGCAAAATTTTCATTCTTCTTTCTCTCAGCCTGCGTCCAAATGTTCTTTTATTCATTTGGATAAATAAACAACTGAGTTTGGGGAAAAAAGTAAAATCTTTTTGTGGAAATCTTTGGAAGAAGTGGGTGCAGGAGCAAAGGGACCTGAGCCTATATGTGCATAAGACATTGAAGGTTATAGGGCAGATTGAGCAAGTTGTCAAGCGTATAATACTCTAGTTTTATCAATAGAATCATAGAGCACAAGAGCAACAAGGTTGTGATGAACTTCTATAAGATATTGATTTGGCCTCAACTGAAGTACTGTATCTAATTCCGAGTGCCACACTTCAAGAGGATGTGAAGGTAATCAAGAGAGTGCAAAAAGTGTTCACGAGATTGGTTCCAGGAATTACAAACTTAAATTATGTAAATAGATGTGAAAAGTTGGGGCCATTTTCTTTGGAGCGTCAATTTAATACAGGTATTTGAAATCATGAGGAGCCTGGCCAGAATAGAGGAAATAGAGATACAGGAAATATTTTGAGGTAATTGGCAAAAGAAGCAATAGAGGAATAAGAATAATTTTGGCACATTTAATATTTGGAATATGCTGCCTGTAAGTGTGTTGGAGGTAGATTCATTGAGGGTATTCAAGGAGAGAATTAGATCATTACTTGAAAAAGGAAGAACATATAATTATGGAGAACAGTGCAGTCACAACAGGCCAACGTTGCTGTAATAGTTCTGTGAATCATCTGTCTTTTTTTTTAAAAAATTATAATTTTTTTTTGTAAAAGTTTATCTTCCTCATTTTTGTATTTCAGATGTGCAATAATGACCCTTCCCCACTAAGCGGAAGACATTCAAGGACTGAAACAATCATGGCTTCTAATTTAATATGCTTTAGCAATTGTTAACCTTTTGCACAGGTTCTGAAAAAAATATTTGTAATAAAATCAACTGAAACAGACTATTTTGGTATAAGTTCTGTGAAGTATATAGAAATACTCACATTCATCAAGGGTAAATAAATCTCCAGGAAATAAGTTTATTTTATTAAGGAAAGAAAGCTTATTTTTAAGAATTTGTCTAAACCATAACAAACATTCTGTATGCACAGATTTAGAGAGAGTTTTATTATTCAAGGTGCATGGTAGATTAGTCTTCGTAGACTAAAGACTTCTGTTATGACTTGTGTGAATTCTTCTGTATTATATACCAGGACTTCTTCTGAAGTTTCTAATCAGACCAGATACCCTCCACTGATATACTACGCTTGCTGTGTGAGTGTTGTTGTGAAGTGTTACATTGTTATGGAGTCTTTTGCCTACTTTATTATAGGTAGCGTGATATGATATATGTTTTCATTTTTCCTGAAGCTACAATTTGCCTTAAATCTCATGTTTCAGTAGCTTTTGAAGCATTTTAAAACCTCGATAAGATGTAGTGCTTTGGCCATACAAAATGGCTTGGCAATGCCTTGTAAATCAGCGGAAATAGACTTTTATAGAGTTGATAGTCCTAATTTGACTGGTTGTGGATCATACCTTTTTAATGTGTTGTCAATTTTTTTATATAATTTTTATTATTCTTAGCGAAATAGTAATTGAGTTAGAAATTTTAGGACAAAGCATGTGTTGGGTGAAACACATTTACTTAGTTGGAAATTTTAACAAAGGAAATGTTTTAAGGTGGTTGGACTGTAAATTCATCTGATAATAGGAATGAGTTAGGAATTAAGATATATAGTGAAAACAAAAAAATACTTTCACCTTTCTTAAAGTAAGTTAATGTTGTAGTCTTATTAGATAAAGGGGTAAGAGTGGGTGCGCCTGTCATTACAGAATTCTTTTTTTTTCTGCTTTAGCTGGTTTTAAAGTTGCTAAAGCTTAGATGATTTATGATTGCTCAGAAGGTAGCAAACTAATGAGTTGCTATTTGAGCAAAAAAATGCAAGCTAAAGCAGTTTTGTTCATTTGAAAATAAACTGAGAGATTGGCATAATTTTGAATGGGTACTAGCTCTCTGTTAGTTATATCTAAAAAAAAAACTTGGCACTTTTAAAAGTTAATATTACCAAAGAATTATGAGCTAGCAACTAGTCAAATGGGGGGAAAAAAACGTTTTCTCTCAGCCTAGAATTTCTTCTTTATTTTATGCCGGACCAGTTTGTGATTAAATGTGCCTTTTTACATGCATTTGCATTTTTTTAATGTAAGGACACAAAGAAGCATGAAGGAAGGTTTTGATCCAAGCAGTGCCACACTTTATATAATTTTTGTTACCATCATCTTCACTACATGTGCTAGAGTAATAAGAATGATTTTGAAGCTATGAAATCCCACTGATAACTATTTGGAGCTTTGCCTTATAGAATCAGTTTTATTTCATGTCAAGCTAGTAAAGCTCACTTCATTTATTCATGAGTTTGTATTTAAAAATAAATAAAACAGGTCGTCTTCCAAGAGACCATGCATTTATCTGGTCAGCTGTCTGATCAGTTATCTACCTCAAGGTTCTGTTTTCTGTTTTACTGGGTCAGGTTGCTGGACCTGCCTGCCTCACCAGACCAAATCACTCTAGCTCAGGAGCTAGGGCTAAACAATTTATTTTTTCATGAGTTTTGCTATTTTTCAGATTTATTATAATATGTCAATGTATTAAGTTCTTGTCATCAGTAAATTTCATAGTTTCAAAATATTTGCTGCTGAAAATAATTTTGTTAAATAGTGTTTGTTAGATTCTCAACACGTACAACTTGTAAAAAGCAAGTAGTTGTGGTATTACTTGATCAGTACTCCCTATAATATTTCTGCTGTGTCAAAGTTCCAGGCAGATTACAGCATTACAATGTACTTGGACGATTGCTAGAATCAGAGCTACAGACAAATATTGGATTGTTTTGTATTGTTTAAGATTGAAATCTGAGAGGTCTATATAACTGTGTGGAATTGGCTGCTGGTAATATCTGAACTACGTGCCATAATCATTATCTGGACAAGATTTGGGGGAAAAAAAACTTACTGTACATAAAAAAAAGAAATCAGTTACCTAAAACATCACATTGTAAACAGCCATTAAATTATAAAGAATCTTAATTTATGAAAAAAGACCTTTTGTACAGATTGTTTGAAAAAGATTTTCATAGATGTCTATATGATCAAGAGTTAATTTTTTATTTTTGTTTTACTCGTGCCACAGACTTGCCAGTGGTAACTTATTTGTCCGGTTCCAAATGACTCATTCTGTAGTTTTGTGTCCTAAGATATAAGCCAAGAAAACATTTTTGAACTGTAAGTTAATTTAGATTGGTACCTTAGTATTTCTGTTCATTTTCTTTTGGAAAACTTTTGAATAAAAAACGACCAAGTGAAAATATTTCATCTTAGAGTTGTGTTAATCTCGTTATTATTCATCATGGATTTTTAATACGTTAGTGCTGTGTACTAGTTTGTTCCTTTATACACATGTTCCTCTGTTTCTTGCTGTACAATATACACACAGGAATTTAATCATTTAGCGTATGAAAAAGATCATCAAGGATTGTCTGGTAATTATCTACAAAGAAAATATGCTCCAGAGCAATTAAAATTTGGTAGTAGACCACTTTAACCAATGGTACACCTTGTCGTGCATTAATAGCAACCAAGTGTATAAACTCAGGCATTTGCCTGACTAAATATTTGTATACAGGTATGTCCTGTATACAATGGGCTAATACACCATGTGAGATCCTTTGTATTGCTGCACAGATCCCTGGTGGTAGTGCTTCCAAACTGGTATTTTAATTAGTGACACGGGTAGTTAGAAGGAAAATATATAGGTAATATTAAGGAAAATCCAAAGACATTTTATAGGTATGTTAGGGACATAGGGACAGGAGAATTACCATGGAAAAAGAAGGCTGATTTAGGGACCTTAGTGGCTGTGTGTGTGTATGTGTGGAGCAGGTAGATATAACTAAGGATTTAAATAGTAGTTTGGACCTGTATTCATGACAGTGAAGAATGGTGTAGGTGTAGACGTCAGCGATACACTTGAACAAATGTAGCATTAAGAGAGAGGAGGTATTAGCAGGCTTGAAAGTAGATAATTCCTCAGGCCCAGGTAGCATGTATCCCAGAGTGCTGTGGGGGCAAAAGAGGAGATGGTAGGGTGTGGACATTCATTTTCAAATTCTCTCAGGCCACCAGACGGGTGCCAGAGGATATCACTTGAGATGTTTCTCAGTGTATTATTTTAATGTATTATAACAATGCTTGGCTCCATTCACAGTTCCTCAGTTAATGGAATAGTCCATGACCTAATGTTCAAAGGCATTATCATCAGCAAGGCAGGTGTTCTGCAATGAGTGACTCACTTCTTGACTTGACAAATGCCTCTGCCGCTCATAATGCAAAGTTATGAGGAATGTGAAGGGTTATCTCCACTTGTGAAGGATATTCTCCACTTCAGTTTGTGGATGTAATTGTAACTTTAGTCAAGAAACTGGACACCACTAAGGACAAAGCAGTCCACCTTTTGGTAAAAAGCATTTGCCTAAAGATCCAATTTTTCCACTAGTGTATCCCAGCCTCTGCTACCTGCAGAATGAAGCATTCATCAACAACACTTGTCAAACCCTTGACCTCCACCATTTTCATCAGCAAGGTCAGCAATTGCGTGGGAATATGACTGCCTCTGAATCGGATACCTTTCTGGCAAGATAACAGCTGGGCCACTTTTCTTATCTCTTTCTTGGGCTCCTTGGATACTAGCACACTCTTTGTGCTTCAACACTAGGCACTACACAAACAACCCTTCACAATGCATTCAGGTTATAATCTTCAGAAGGTGCAGTTTAGCTACACAAACACACAAAGACAGCAGTTACTTACATGCCCAATCCTGAAATCTCTTCCTACATTTTACCAGGCTCATATTACCATATCTCACACCTAATGTGCCCTGTGCAAACTAGCACACATTTCCTCAGTTGCTAACCTTCACCTAATTCAGACATAACAAGGTGTGGAGCTGGAGGAACACAGCAGGCCAGGCAGAATCAGAGGAGCAGGAATGTTGACATTTCAGGTCAGGACCCTTCTTCAGAAATGGAGCCCTTCCAGCAACGGCTGTTCTAACTATCTCTGAGTGAGTTATAACCACACTGCAAAACCTAGCCCCATTTCTGAAGAAGGGTCCTGACCCAAAACATCAACTTTCCAACTCCTCTGAAGCTGCCTGGCCTGCGGTGTTCCTCCAGCTCTACACTGTGTTATCTCTGACTCCCACATCGGCAGTTCTTACTATCTTTGATGTAATTCAGACAATTTTGTCATAGGAAAAACTGTTGTACAATTCCCATGTGAGACGGGCCAGCAGAGGAAGCGTTCCTGACCTGAGAAGCTCGCACACTAAAAAAACGTGAAAATCATAGGAAGTTGCTGTCGGACATAGCAAAGTTGGAGCATAGTTCCAATATTAAATCAGTGACAAATTATGTATGTGGCTGCTGCGGGCTCACAGGTATCAGCTTCCTCCCTCTTCACCAACTCATCTTCCTAGTTGGGTAATACTTACCCATATTTTCACCTTGTCCAGCAGATGCACCAAAACACTGAGTACTTAACATAAGTATTTGAAATGACAAATTTCACATAATCTTCTGTAGGAACCTTTCAATTGCAATCCTTGTGCACCAGTTTATTGAGAGGTTCAGAAAGGATCATGCAATTGAAAAAGTGGTACCTGAGTGATTCACAGAGCCTAAATGATACAGCTGGAATCCAGCAAACAAGTTTGGGCTCCTTGTCACCTAAGGAAAGATATACTGATATTGGAGGCAATCAAGAGAAGGTTCATTTGGCTGATACCAGGTATTGGAGGATTTCTCAAATGAGAGATTCAGTAGATTGGGCCTGTGCTCATTGGAGCTTAGAAGAATGAGAAGCGACTTTGTTAAAACTTAAAAGATTCTTCAGGGGTTTGACAGGATAGATGTTGATAAGTTGTTTCCCCTAGTGACAGGGTCAAGAACCGGAGGCCAAAATCTCAGATCAAGGGGTCACACATTTAAGACCAGATGAGGAGGAATTTCTTCTCTCAAAGGGTTGTGAACCTGTGGAGTCCTTTATTGCCGAGGGCTGTAGAGGCTGGGTCATTAAATTCATTGAAAGCTGAAATGGACAGTTTTTTTTTTAAATTAAGGGAATCAGGGATTCCAGGGAAGAGCTGGAAAGTGGAATGGAGAATTATCAGATCAATTTGCTTTCATTGAATGATGGAGCAGACCTGATGGCCTGAATAGACTACTTCAGCTCCCATCTTTTATGGTTGTATGGTGGGGCAGTTTGTGAGAAGGTGCTCATTTCAGTCACAAAGGCTGTCCCTGAATTTAATTCATGGGTATGCACCTAGAAAGAAGTTCAAGGACCATAACCCCTGCATGTAGGCTGTAAAGGTCAGTGTACAAAATAATGCAGCAATTGGTATCAATGGAGTATTAAATTACTGCACTCCAATCTAACCAATCTAAAGCAGATGCCTAGTTAGGAAGCAGGAAGGGACCAAAACGTTCTGTGTAAAATAGGCTGCCAGTTCTGTAGCTCATATTTTGTGCCACTTCCCAAAAAAAATTTCATCTCCTTGTAGTCGTACACACCATGGAAGAGTAGGTTGGCATTTGTTCACTTTTTAGTTGATTATTTTGAAATACAATGCATGTGTCATGCTTTGTGAGTCAGCTAGTGTAAGTTATACAAGAAAGGATGCCTTTAATTTGTTGATGGTTAAGTCAGGTGATGGTTATTGTCATTGACAAGTTTGGAAAAAGTAGTTTGATGTCATGCCCTGGGTGGAGAGTTGTTTTTTTTTTTTGAAGAATTAGCTCCATATTTGAAGATAACAAGGAGTTAATGCACAAATTAAGACTTCCGTTAAACCAAAGAGAAACCCACAGTGTTCTTGTAGTCACTGAGAGATCATGTGACAATCATCACAATTCTCTTCTGTTTCTATTTCAGCCTCCAAGCCTAATTTCCCAGAATGTACAAAGACCCTGCACAAAAAGAACACTATAGGATATAACAGGAGCTTCTGCAAACTGCAGAATCCTTGCAAATTCTCTCAATAAGAATAAAGTCCTTTTAATACTACAACGTCTATATCACATGAAGTATCAAGAGTTAAATTGACAACGCTGTGTGAGACCAAGATTCTTGGGGAGGTGCAGCAGAAGGAACAAGCAAGATGATTCACCTTTTACTCTGGATAAAAGGCTGACAATGACCCTATGTGCGCAGGAGTTGGTTTTGCCATTAGAATAGATCTTGGATGCCTTACTAGAATCTGCCAATTGTTTCAAAGACTTGTGAAGCTTCACCAACAGCTCAGTCTTATCCAATATTATCAGTACTGTTATCGGTACCAATGCCTTGACCCTTGACTCCAGTGAAGTTTTAAGGAAATGTTCTATTGTGAGTTTAATGAAGTGCTCTCTGCCATACCAAAAGAAAAGATCGTCTTTCTGGGGATTTTAATGCCAGGGTTAGCTGTGATTCCAATGTCTGTAACAGAACCGTTGGGGAAAAATGGTTGGAAAAGCCAGTGCAAATGGTTTCAGAGATAGTAGGAACTGCAGATGCTGGAGAATCTGAGATAACAATGTGTAGAGCTGGATGAACACAGCAGGCCAAGCAGCATCAGAGGAGTAGGAAAGCTGACGTTTCGGGCTGGGAGAAGCAGTTCTGTCAGGTCCTGGTCTGGAGGCAGCCTCATGGACAATTGATCTCAGATGGCAGCTGTGGCATGACCTTAAGTGGGTGATAATTTTGTGGTGGCCTGGTGTGTGTTGGGGGTGGGTTTCGTTTCCTAATAGAGACCACTGGCCACAATGTGGTGGAGGGAATGACCTCAAGTCAGAAAGAGTGAGTGTTTGACAAGGAAGAACTCCACCAGTTAACAAAAGTACTGCTGTACGTAGCATTCAACATCAGCACATACCTATACTTCAGTAAGCGCTCGATTATGTATCAACAACACTTAAAAGCACCAGAGAAATTCCATGAATGACGCAGGCAATGCCTCTGCCACATCCTCCTGATTTAATGGAGGACCGGTGTAAAATGCTGATGTCCTTCTTAAAGTTAGCTTCTCAGCTTTTGGACAGAACACCTGTAGAATCAACTTTGTTGGACCAGGTAGTGTATCCCAATGGCCAAAATGTGTCTACTCCCCTTCCTAGATCCTGTTTTCTCAAGTCACAAAGAGCAATATTCTAGAGGACAAAAAAGCACTTCAAAGTCATTCTGAAACTCACATTGAAGCACAGCAGCAATGGCATTGTGCCTGGGACGAGCTTGCTACCATTTGATCGAAATGGAGACAACTTGTTCATC